GAGGGGGGGGGGGGAATCTTCCTGTCGAATTGAAGATCCATTGTATCTTGTTGACTTTCTTTCATATTTCTTCAATTTCAAGGCTTTTTAAGTGTTTTCCCCAAGAATTTCTCTCTAAACTAGATTTGCAATTGCTGAAATTCAATTTCAGCCCACAACTTAATCAATTTCTGCACTTGTGGTCTATCAGCCGCTGACGTGCAAGCAAGATCTTCTCAAGGATACATACGAGAGCTCATCTATGCTTTTCTACTTATTTAACAACATTATCATCTTCATGTCAGTCGTCTATTGCAATTTCTCCTTCCGGGAGTTGAATTTGTTTCTGGCTCGGGCACTCATTAGACTTGTGACTCAGTAGGAAGCATCTGAAACACATCAAATTGCTGGGCTTACGATATAGATTTTCCCATTCTTGGACATTGTTACTTTCAGGTAATGGAGCCTTGCAAGTTGGTTGTGTTGCAAAGGATTGGAACTGAGATGACTTTGTTGTGGGTTTATTCATCTCAACAAGCATTTCATTGTTCAAGCATCAGAATTGTGCCCCTTTCGATGATTGATTGAGTTGTTGGCCTTGTATGCGAACTTAATTGCCTAGGACAACGACCAAATAGAGTTTAACTTGATCTTGTCGTGGATTGCTTCTTTAAGACACCCAATGTATCAAGCTACCAATTAAATAGTAGACTCATTCAGATTGTTTGTTGCACTCAACCTTTAAAATTCTTTTATATAGACACCCATTGATCGTTGTCCTTCCATGAGTGTTAGTATTGCAAATATAACATTTGTTCGTAATCAGTTGGCAGAAAATGCCCCCTTAAGATTGTTTCATTCGTAACCAACTATAAACTCCTCCCTTGCCTTCTTGTCGACATGTTTGGAGTAATTGCATCCACCAAGCACCAGTTCGTCCCTTTAGATTACAAGCCACATGCTTTACTTGTTTCTTTAGTAGAATCTCTATATACTCGAAGGTCTCAAAAGATTTTTCTTAATCGAGATAATCTTCTATGTGTAAATGCCCATAAAAGGAATAGCAAGCTTTACCCAAAATTCATTGCAATGATTCTTATCGCTCGCAAGCACCCTCCATGGCATATATTCGATTGGGATTTCTTCTTTGAAGTTAGAATTCGACATAGTGGACCGTCGATAAGGTTCATTCTCTTCATTGGATCCTAGGAACTCCAATTGCACTAGTGGAAAGTGCCATTGGGGAAACAATGGGGTCATGATTCACTACAAGGATGTTGTGGCCAGTTAGCATGAGTGCCAAGGCCTCCGATTTTATTGTAAGAATTATGATGTCAAACATCATAAGAGATTGAAAAATATGTAGAATCTTGATGGTGAATAAAAAAACTTATAAGTGAGTTTATCTAGACGTTGCCTGAGATTTGATTGAGGCCAATAGAGCCTCCAAGCTACAATTGTTGTTGGTAGCCTAAGGCACTCCCATTCACCATTACTCTCCCCACTTTAAGCTCTGATACCAGTTGATAGAAATACTAGGAACAATAAGAGTAATAGAAAAAGAAGCTAATATTGATATTCATATAACAGTAGATGAAAAATGAGTTTTGATCTATCATCAAAAAATTATCTTGATCGGGCACGAATCTCAAGGCTAAATCAAGCTAGAAACTTCAAAATTAAATCCGGGATCACCTGAATTCCGATTTCAGGGAACTTACAGTCAAACTGAGCGTCTCGAAAATACGAACCCGACGACACCAATTTCAATTCGATCTAAAGCCCAAATGAGTTTGAATCGAAGACCCGAAGCGTTGTTGGAAGGTTCAAACTATAATTTGGATTACCAAACAGTTTCCAAACATGACATGCTTATAGTCGAATCGAATGGCTCGACGAGACAAATCCAACGAGTCCAAGATCGCCGAATTCCGATATCGTTAAGACCTTCAAATGTCTGACAAACGGTCCACGATCAAGGGATTCAATATCGGCCGTCCATCTGAACCACTTCACCTTTTCCCTTGATCTACCTCCTATTTACGGGTCATGTCATCCTCAAAAAACTATAAATAGCCCCTCATTTCTCTTGAGAGGGGACCCAAGCAATAAAAAGAAGAGAAGAGAAGAAGGAAAGGAGGGAAGAAACTCCTCCTCGACCACCGCCCGGGATTCCGCCCGACTTTCTAGTGACGCCGAAACTCCGCCCAAGTGACGCCGGAATTCTGCCCGATCTCCAAGTGACTTTGGGATTCAACCCGAATACCCAACATTTTCGAATCTCAAATTATTGTTTGTAACTGAACTTCAATTCGGGAGTGGATTAATATGATCGCCCTAAATTTTAAAAACGAGTCAGCCTCTTGCACCTCAAGCAAACACTAGTAGAGCTCTTTCAACTGGGCGTGACCTCGTGGTTTTTTCCCTTTCTAGGTTTTCCATGTAAAAATCCGAGCGTCTTTATTTCTCTCATGTTTGTATGCTAGATATCCGTACTACGCTAAGACGGAAATTTTCAAACTCTATCGCCGTGTATATTCTAGTCCGCAACAAGTTTGTATTCATCACCCCCTCTCTTAGGAGAACTAAGACTATATATATCACTATTACTGCTCTCTAATAGAAAAAGAATCAAAAGAATAGTGGTGAAGATTTTTTCTATAATTGGGTGGATCTTCTCAAAGCATAAAATATACCATAGGGAATAAAAATAGTAACTAAAAGATATGCATAGTAACTAAAAGACCTTTTAAAAAAAAGTGTAGAGGTGTGTGACGAGGCACATGGCGTTGCATCACCTTTCCCTCACCATTTCTTCCTCCTACACGTAGTCCTCTCATCTCCTCTTCTTAATCCCCCCCTTCCAACTCATGAAATCCCATAAAGACCGGTCACATTCCATCCACATCCACCAGAGTGGACCACTTGAGGATGATCAACTAAACTTCTTCATCATTGACAGAGAGCGGTGGCATCAGGCACCTTAACAATATTTTCACTGTAGAATGCAATAAGGAAGAACACATAAACTGACGGATGATCTAACATTTTTATGATGGCATGTTACAAAGATGAAACTGCCTAAAATAATAAAAATAGGAGAGGAAAGGTCATCAGAGCACCGTAGCGTTTAGTGGCCGCCAAAATCAACATAAAAATTCAGAGCCAACACAAAATCTAACAGTCTTGTTAATAAAAGAACTTCGATAAAAGTTAAACTGGTAAGTACTAGAGTTAATAATTTACCCTAAATTGGCATTCGATAACCCCAAAACTAATTTCTCAGAAATCTCCATCATAGAGCCTCCTCCCGATCTCGAAGGAGAGGAAGGCATCAATGCAAGCATACTTGATCTGATCCATTGTAAGATAAAACTGATCCCAACGGCCCATCCTCACGCGGCGCGGCTTACTAACCTGAACGCCCATTACCTCCATCGCAAGCGCGGAAAGGCCCTTCTGTCTCATCTCGTTCCGCCCCATTCTCTCCGCTGCAAGTTCCCGTAGATCGACAGCGTTGCATACAGACAAGTCCCTCTCTTCAGCCAGGCGTTCAACATCGCCATTGATTCCGACTCCGACGAAAGTAAAACTTGGGTCTGAGAGGAATTGCTCGAGAGATCCGGGAATATAGTCGGCGTGGAGAAGTTGGAAGATGAGGCAATGATGTCCCACGCAGAGCTGGAGTAAGGCAACAGGGTTCTGATAGCGAGAGAAAGAGGGGCGCCACTCGACATCGATGCCGACGACGAAGCGGTTAGAGAGCCGGAGGATGTTCGATATCCAGGAATCGACTTCATCGCCGGAGGCCGTCAACGTCGTCTCAATGTTCTCGGTTTCGTCGAAGGTGACCCTGAAGGTGGAGTCAGAGAGCTCCTCGATATCCGTCGCCATCTCTCCCGCCAGTGATTGTTGGGTGCACCGTGACCCGACATTAAAATCCAATTACATTTTGGGCGGGTCTTGTTGAGACATGATTAGTAGCTTTGAGAGGAATTTTTATTGCATCCTCCCACCTGACGTAGAAATACGTCCTCCCACCGTTAAAAAATTCGGTTTTTGCTCGGTATTGCTAGGTATTATTTGATAATAACGAGGAATATCATCTTGTGAAGACCAATACCGAGTTATACCGACCTGTACCGAGCAATACCGAGCAATACAAAAAAATACAGTGTTCTTTCTAGGAAAAACTAGGTATTTTTTTTATTGCTCGGTATAGCTCTGTATAACTCGGTATTGGTCTTCACATGATGATATTCCTCGTTATTGTTTGGTATTGCTCTGTATTTCTCGTTTTTTAGCGCGAATTTAGCTCTGGGAGGACGTATCTCTACGTCAGGTGAGAGGATGCAATAAAAATTCCTTTGAGAGGCTATGTTTAAGAAAATAAAAAAAATTTATTATTGATTGCAACCCATTATAGACTATACATGACAAATGTCATTACTTGATTGGTGTTCACATGATTTTCCGTTAATTCGTGAGCCACTTGGGGCGAGTCTTCATGTTCTAGTTGGTATAGCAAGTGTGCTATTAAGTATTTGGATGATGTTTTTAGGCTATTAAGTGCGAAGGGCAAGTCCATTTGGATCATGATAGCCCCAATGCAAGTGTTGGGCGAGTTCAAATGATCGAACTCTTAATCTAATGAGATGCTCAAAATTAGAAAGTATTAGCGGCGACTTGCTGATTTGTGAGATGACTAGTAGCTTTGAGAGGCTAATCATTGCCAAGGAGGATGAGTTCTTTATAGCTTGGATGGATATGTACGAGTTCTTTTTGTAGCTCTTGCAGGGAAAGACTTTTCGACTTGATCAACTTGCACAATTCACATTTCTCATTGGTGAGAGCTCATGGAGAGCGAGTTTACTACTTAGACTGAGCTCTCGTTGCTAGAATCTGTAAGGTTTGAGTTTGTCTGCATGAATATGCTAGGTACCTATAATAGACTTACGTAGGCAGATACGAGTATACAATTTGGTTGCAAGATTTAAATGAGATTTACAAATGACTAAGTATTTAACTTAAATTAATATTAGATAGTTTTGGAAGGTTACTATCAACATGTGCAAATGAGGGAGAAGATTATAGTTTTAAGAATTTGAGCATGAAATAGGGGAATACAAGAGTTTCAAGAATATGGGGATGAAAGTGAGAGAAGATGAATGTTTTCTAAAAAATGGGACAAATGGGGAGAATAAGAGGGTTTCTAGAAATTAAGAACAAATGGGAGAGAATATTATGGTTTCATAATTCTGCTATATTAATTAAGCAAAATTTCTTTAACTCTATCTATTGGAAAAAAAAAATCTATTTATTTTCTTACCATATTAATAATAAATATTTTTGTAACATAAATATTATTTGATTTTTCTTCCTACAATAATTTAAAACTTAAAACCTTCATTTCAGAAAACAAAGATAGTACCAATCAATTGAATAATTGATGATAAGTATTATTTGATTTAATAACATTAACTTTATTTCGAACAGAACAATTGAGATATAGATAGGATGTATAATATTATTTTATTTTGCGATCGTATACTTAATTGAATAATCATTATAATAATAATTATGTATATGTATTAACAAGTTTAATCAATTATATATATATATTGAATTTATTTAATTATATATAATATCATTAATCATTTAATTAAGGGAAATAAGCTTAATTTGAATCGTAAAAATCTAATTTATAATTAAGTGTTTCTCTACTTGGCAGATGTACATGTTTTTATATGGTTCAAACACAGCATTCAATTTGCAAAAAAAATTCCCTAGCTTGAAATTTTCTAAATAGAGTTGAAGGATACTTTTTAGGAAAGACTCTTATTAACACATAATCCCCTACATTGAATTCCCTAAAGGTTTTATTTATATTCTTAATTTTGATATATTAGAGAGAAAATCAACTCATTACGTACTAAATTGAGGGAATTCATACAACAATTTTGAATGCAACATTCACCTCAATGCAGCATCCATCTCAAAGAAGCTCACGAATTGTATGTAAAATTTCACATTCTAATTTTAACGTTGGTTATTTGAATACTAATTTTTACAATCTTTTTATAATTGATAGGATGGCAATGAAACTTCCTCTGAGAGATGATGTTATGGGAGAAAGAGAATGACATTTTGAAGATAACCCATGTTTGTGATAAATTGTTTTAAAATGAATCTTGGTATGAAAGTCTATTTTTTTGGGATGTTACTCAAAGTTTTGATATTGTACATTATCAAATATGAATGATGAATACTCTTCTCTTTTTGACATATCAATGACTTAAAAATTTTCACTTGAGATTATCTGATATTATTTCTATTTTTTGGTGGTCATTACTTTGTTGATTAAGACACTTTTCACATCTCTTATATATATTGGTATGTATTATATTCATGTGGTGGTGTGGAGTTCGCCTTCTGGCTTTATTTGTGTGTTTAACTCTTCTCTCTTTGGAACATTGGTTTGTTTGAAGATGACAGCGATTGAGTATTACTTTTTTAGATTACTTATTGATGATCTTTGCTTTCATTGAATTTTACAAGCTCTTAATCTCTTTTCATCTGTTGTCATTTGAAATATTTGTAGGTTTTATGGCATCCCTTCAAATAAATCATTTGATTTTATTGTGATTAATGCATATTAATTGATTTTTTTTCTTCAGAATATTGAATGCACTGGCACCTTAATACATTCTAAGGTGATAGTTGATGCAGAGTATTTATTTAATAGATCTTTTGAGCATGAGATCCTTAAAAACTTACTGTTCCTTAGTTCTTAAAATCATAAAATTTTCTGTTTCATTTTTTACCTTATGCTTCTGTTTTAAAGAAAAAAAAGGCTTAGGCAGATTGCTGTAATTAAAGTAGTTGGAGAGAAAATAAATTGGAGTATGTGAGAGAATAAGCAAAAATATTCGACAATTGGTGCGTGACATTCATCATGAGCTTGTGTTATTGAGAAGAAGAGGCTCTTTTGTCTTTTGATACTTTTATGTTGGCTTTTGTCTTCATTAAGATGGAGAGGTTATTGTCAGGAGGGGGAAATTATTGGGTCAGGTCACCGGACACAGCTTACGTTCGGTATTCACAGTACTGAGCTCGATACTGTGAAATACTGAGTACCGACCAATACCGAGCTCAGTATCGAGTAGGAGGTGATGTGACGCATTTTTATTGGACTCCGAACACGTCCGGTGACCTCACCCAATAATTTCCCGTTAGTAGGAGGACCCCAAATCTCCAATTGCTCAAATTAGGATTTCACCATTCCTCACCAATTAAAGCTTTGCAGAATATTTGAAAGAGACATTTCAATTCATGCATATGCCTTTTTATTTCAATTAATGTGTTTGCATGTCTTTGATACTTTCAATTTATGCAAATGCCTTTTGTCTCTTCATAACGAAGTGCATCTTATGAATTCCATTTTTTTCTTTAAAATTATGGACTATTGTGGCGGTTAGCGATTTAATCCACCACAATTTTGTGAATGATTTTTTTATTTGAGGTAACAGTGGCAGTTATAACCCATGTAATTATGTGATGTTGTGACGGTTAAAAACGCTGTAATAATGGGCAATTCATGATGTTTTCCCCATCGGTCATAAAACCATCACAAAATGACGTTGCAGTCATTGCAATCACAATGGGCGTGCAACAGTTTTGAAACCGCTACACGAAAATTTGTGGAGCGTAAAACTGCCGGAAAATGTCTAATTTTGTGCTACGATTGCCCTAATTTTTTGGTAGTTAACATTTAAATTTTTAGATCTATAAAACATTATTACTTTTTGAAGAGTAAATATTTAATAAATTCAAATTCAACAAAATCAACATATAAAAAAATAAAAATTATTTATAGATAAAAGAGACTTTGAAAGATGTTCTTATTTTATTTAAATTTATTATATAACTAATTAAGACTTTGTTTGGGATAACTTTTGGCCACCACTTTTTTGGTACTTTCAAAAAAAATTTTTTTTTACTTAAAATTTGATTTAAAAAACATTAAAAAAACTGTCTAAAATTAGGTCATTGAAAACTCTAAAACGCCGAATGATCACAAGTATAACACTTGAATAAATTTCTAACGTCAGTCCAGATTTTGCCCAGATGAATATTAAAAGACAGGATAGCCTGGCTCCACCATGCAGACTCTAGCCTAAGGTTTGGGCATTGGATCCTCTACAATCATAGTGAGAATTGTAGCGCTAATGCCTCAATCCCATCCATACATTTTAGCTTGAATGGCTTTGATTGAATCCAACAGAATCAAAATATTTTGGAAATAAGAAAACTGAATTCTATTCCAATAACAATAGAGGATCCAAACTACATAGCCATATATCTAGCCTAGAATGATAGGAATAACTGAAAATATCTCCTTCATTGATGAGCCCATTCAGGTAGGGACCTAAAAAGAGCTCAGGGCGGCTAATTGTTTTTTGAGACATTTAGGTCAATTAAGGCAGACACACATAACGCATACACAAGATTCGAATTTAAGACCTCTTAGTTGATAGCCTAAGCTCTCAACCAACAAACTAAGATGAGCTGTGTCGGGCAGCCAAATGTCAATGCTAATTTTTTTTTTTTTTTGGTTAGTCTTAGTAGAATAAACATTTAACCTATGCTTCCTCCTCATCCCATCCTCAGTAGATACTTTTGTCTAAAAAATTTCCTTTTTTTTTTTAATTTCATACTTAAGATTATCAGATTATGCATGATCAAATTGATTTTGGTTTTATTTGGAATAACTTTTTAACTGTTTTCTAAAGCAGCTTTTTAGTACGAAAATTTCTAGTTCATATAAATTTTGTACTAAAAAAAACTGTTTTAAAAAACAGCAAAAAAGTGAAAAAACAATAAGAAAATTGTTCCAAATGAAGCCTTTGTCTACCCTCAAAAGATGA